GAATATTGAAATTATATATGAATATATACATAATATGTATTAAAATACTGACTACCAAACACATAATATATGTTTTCATTAAGTGTCTAAAATTTTTTCATACAATAAATATTGTCATGAGACACAGAGCACTCGATAATCGAAGGTTCATTCATTAATTAATCATTCAAACATTAATTAGTTTTTGAGATTATAAGGAATCAGGGAAACGGAGTCGTGAGGTATTCAAGATTTGAATTATTAAATAGCGAAAATTGCATATTTCTATCTCGCCTCTTTCAAACGTTATTCAGAGGACAGTGAAATTTTGAAACTGATAGTACGAGAGGCATTTAATCACTGAGCTATCCTAAACTACAGTATATACCATCTATATCACATGTATAGAAAAATTTCTTGTCTAAAGCACCTATTTATAATTTTCTATCGTTTTTTATTATTATGAAATATTCTATAAGTAATTTTAAATATATAAATTACGTATTATCTATCCAAAAAGTTAAATAATATCAAATCCTGCTTGTTGAATACGCATTAACTCGGAATAAATTCCATTTTTTTTAATTAATTCAGAATGAGTACCAATCTAAAATGATAGATATTTGCCTTTCGTATCTATTTTTTGTTTTTTTTGATTGGTACTTTACCTCGACTAATTTACCACGAAACATTACTCCAATAATATCAGCATTACGTATTGTACTTAGTCTATGTGCTATAATAATGGTTGTTCGTCCTAGTATTATACAAAAATGTTATTCTATTAGTCTAATATTATTTAATAACTACCTTGTGAAACATTGTTTATAGCTGTCTGAACTTGTTTTTCGGCCTCAGCATCCAATGCACTTGAGTAAAGAATAAAAATTATTAATTATATTGAACTATTTTCCATCATTGTGTGCAACTTACCTGGTTGCTTCATCTAAAACTAGTATCGAAGGATTTTTCAATAAAGCGCGAGCTATAGCAATCCTCTGTCTTTGACCACCTAGAAAAAAATCAATCAATTTATTATTTACTTGTGTTGTCCATCGAATAAGAAGATAAATTTCATTTATTTCTCATACAAAGTTAATATCATTTTCTCCTATTAGATGGAAAAAAAATGTTTTTCTTCTATGTTACCTGAAATAGTAATTCCTCTTTCACCAACAATTGTTTGATAAGAATCTGGAAATGTTTCTATAAACTCATGTGCGTTGGCTAATTTAGCGGCATTATAAACTTCTTCATCAGAGGCATCTGGTTCGCCAAAACGAATATTTTCGAGTAAAGAAGTTGAAAATAACGTAGGCTCCTAAATACAAGTGTTAAATTAGAAGATTTTTTCAATACAAAAATTTAATTATAACATATACTTGATTAATCATGCCAATTGTTTTTCCTCTCAACCATGTGGGATCCATTTTTCTAATATCTTGCCCATCAATTGTTATTGTGCCAGAAAGAGGATCATAAAATCGAACAAGTAACGAACATAACGTTGATTTTCCTGATCAAAACAATTAGAAATCAATTTGAGACATTTTTCTGTTAAGAGGGACCTGAATGTACCATCACGCTTTGCAAGTTTAAAGAGAACATCTCATTACATATTTCCTTAAAGTTTTTTTATCTACTGATAAGTATTCACGGTGGTATGAACTAATTAAGTTTCAGTGTTAGTTAGAATTTGAATAGTTAGCGCCGATTTTAGAAAGCTTGTAGCTCAATCAAAAACTAATCGCAGAAACGTCCTTCTCGGGTAGTTTGATAGCCAATGATATGTGGTCAATGTTTGATAAAAATATTAGTGAAGAAGTTCTCTTAAACTGTTAATTATAATTAATTACTACCATTTTCCTAGTCAAATCAGGGAAAGTACAAATATCTTTTGAATAGCGCTTGATAAGAAAGTAGTAGAGATCTTCGATCTTCATTAACAGGAAGTCAAGACTCGAACGCATCTTTTGGTGAAAAATAAATTTGAAAATCTTATCTAAGAAAAATTATTTTTTATAACTTTGTCGTTTTTCATTCTCATATTCTTCAACGGATTTCTTTTATTAACAAAACAGCAAGAATCTGGTAGAAGATGATTTTTCATAATTTAAGATTTCGCAAAAACGTTCAAGGATTCTGAATATAGATGTTAATTTCATAAACTGTCTGGTTATAATGTCCTGTATTTTTGTATATTCTACAAAATTTGTGCAAAATTGTGAGGAAAAAATGTTTTTTTCGTAATTTTCAATTTTTAGCACTCGGTGCCTCAAAATCTTGCCACGGATCCTGACAACGCAAACCATAGCTCATAAAAACTCTTGCAGTTGTTTCCTATGAAATTCTACGTGGATTACGGTTTTTCTTTTGTAACGACAAAAACTTTAAAAAATTATTAATTAAAAAATATTTCACTTAAAAACCGTATATCGTTGGAAAACTTTTCAAACTTTTTAAAGCTTATTATATACAATCAACGATTGTCTACAAAATAACTCCGCAGCGACGTTGATCGGACATTCCCATAAAAATATAATGAATTATTTCATATTACTATCGAAATCTTAATTAAGTTAAGTTATACTAATAGTACTACTTAGTAGTGAAGGGTGTGTGACTCCGCTCCCCCCCCCCCTTAGATTGATACCTTTACAAAGCTTGATGTATTTACATGACGTTAGTAAGTCATATTTTTATCGCAACAAGATCTTACCTGATCCACTCGGGCCACAAATAGCCACCGTCTTACCGGCTGGAATTGTGAAACTAAAGTTTTCTAATACGGTCTGAAATAAAGATGATTAACGCAAGTTTATAGAAATAATATTTTTTATACTTGTTCATTTCTCGTAGGATATGAAAATGTAACATTTGAAAATTTCACGTCACCAACAAGTGAATGATACGGTATGGTTAAACCACCATGTAGCGGAATTTTACCTTGAAATTTTTGATACTAAAGGTGAGAGAAAGATAAAAGAAAAATACAAATATTACAGGCAAATACTTACCTCATGTATTCTTGCACCGGCGCTAGTACCGCGAATAGCTTGACCAATGAGAACGGATATTTGTGTGAGCGACCTTTGAATTGTTTGTGTTGCCACTAAAAATGCCATTAGATCACCCGCATTCAAACGATTATCCGATACATATTGGCCACCCAACGCTATTGTGCCAAGAACAACAGCTAAAATCAAAGATGCTTCAAGTTGATTGTTAAAATCTGAAATTACTGAATTTACCGTTCATAACAAGATTATTTAGTCCTTGAAATATGCCTATTCCAAGACCAAGTTTAATATTCATATCAGTCGATTTATCTACTTCATCTTTGAACAGTCTAATTAGACAAGATGTCAACAAAAAATTAGAGTAAACTTGATAAAACTTGATACTTACTGATGTTCTTTTGATTCCATTCCGAATGCTCTTGTCGTACGAATATTTCCTATAGCTTCATAAGCAATGGCAGTTGATTTTGATACCTTAATATACCAACAACGTCATATATTTTATGATATATCTTTAAAGAAAAAAGAATCAAAACATACTTGCATTTGTGCTTGTCTAGATAATTTTCGAAGTATAGATCCAAACAATGTTCCAGCTCCAATTATTGTTGGTATAACAAGACCAGCTACTGTTGCCAAGGTTGGTGATATAACATATAATGACACAGCCGAGCCAATAATCAAAAAACAGAAAAAGAGTAAAAATGAATCGTATTTGCATTTATATCTTTTAAATAATTTACCTGTGTTCCAGCTCTCATTCCTTGCGATATTAATAATTTAAAACTACTTTTAAATTCTTGAACATCCGACGTTAATCTAAAGTCGAATATAGAGAAGTTTTGGTTTATCAATGAAAAAATATAAATTCTACCTATCCATAATTTCTCCTGTTTTTGTTTTATCAAAAAATTCTATATCTAGGCATAAAATATTTTGAAATAAATCATGTCGAATTGATGATGCTATTCGTTCACCAGCTATAGATAATAAAGTTATGTATTCAAATGTGGCCAAAGCCTAAAAATAAATTCGCCAACAAATTAATTACAAGCATTAGCCTCATTATACTTCGTATTCGATTACTGTACAGCTAGTTACCTGATAAATGTATAATTTGATCAATTTCACTGTAGGCTGATATAAAATATCTTTAATTGTTTGGGGTGATGTATTATTCTGATTTGTGTACAGTAATGACGAGACAACATTGATTAGATTTCCTAATTCAAGCGGAATTTGAACATTTAAATATGCTACAATTAAGGCCGTCTAAATAGAGAGAACAGATAATAACTTTTTTACTTAAAAGATGATAATAAAATCCACACAGAGAGCATATGTATCGAGTCTCATTTTTGTAATTTTCCACTTGCCCGGTACTAACGTATACTAAGAAACTTTTAGTTTAATCCTGCTACTATTAATCTTCACTTTTCTCTCTGATAAACATCATCTAGGAATGTTATCTTCGAGTCTTAAGGTACCTTACAGCAGTCGCTAATCCAATAATCCATATTTGAGGCTTCAAATATTTCCAAAATAGATTCCAGTCAAATTTTTCTATTTGTTCTGATTGGCCACGATGGTATGATAAAATTTTCTTAGGAGGAGAGCTTCTTGTTGGTTTTGCTGTAGTTGCAGCATTTACACGCCACCAGTTTGTCTTTAAATGCCACAGGGAAAAAGCAGATGTTGCACCAAATATGTTTACTAAGGGTTTACTATTTGATTTTATTATTGCTGCAGGCGTACGCATAAAATGGGAAATGTATGTTTTTGATATACAAGGTATAACAAGATCGGCTCGTTTTAGAAAACATCGACTACATAGTATTATAATCATTATCTAGAATATATTAGTAACACCAGTATTATTATTAGTCCAATATCACAAAAAAATTCTTCACTTTACGTCTTCATTACTGGATTAATAGGAAGAAAGAACAGTTCGTTTATGTCTTGAATAATTGTACAGCTCAGACAGAGAGAATCAGATAGAAACTGATGGGTATTGTAGAACGGATGAATTAGCTAGAGCAAATAAAACGGATAAAGTGGTGACCATAAATGTTTCTTCTAACTGTTTTCGATTGTGCAAAAAACACAGTTGGCGTTACAATTTATTGACAAACATGTGGTCAACAAAATATAGCCCTAACTGGGTCACTTTTAGCTCAAGTCGCTACAAACTAGAACACGGTAACAGATGTACTCGTTAAAAACAACCACAACGAATATTCATGCCCGAACAAAAAAATGTGGAAAATCTTTTAAACCGTATGGGATTACCAGGCATGTAAAAGTGTGTGGCGGAGAATGGTGGAAGGAAAACGGGATATCAGCTAATTAGTGTTTTATCGAAAAAGCTGGGCTTGAATGGTTTGGCGAAATGATCTAGGTCCATTTGTGACCTGCAGGTGGTACTCTGACGATATGCCTTAATATTCAATGCTGTACAATGGATAGCACATAAACACTTTTGTATTCTTCAGAATGCACCTTAAACATTTTAACTCTTTGGGTTTTTATTGTATTGTGAAAACTTTCTAGCAGTTCTGCGTTTTCCGGAAAAAAAGGAAGTTTGAAGCATAAAATTTATATGCGAGGATTTTTTGTCAGTAGCTGTAAACTTTCGGAGTGAAATTGTGATTGACCAAATTTCAACATAAGTTTGGTGTTTACAGCTACTGAACTAGTAGCAGATAGTGCATTATTGATCTGATGTTGTTAGACACAAGTTTTTAAAATTATTACGATATATTATTACATGTTCTATGTTATAGTCCAACAGTTCAATAGAAAGTTTTCACATTTTTGCTTCGTAGAAGCAACGCTGACAAGCGTTTCTTTATCTTTACCCGTACACTGAAAGGTAAGAGTATATTCTTCTTTTTCTATTGACACAAACTGGATCAGTTAGTCGATTCTCTTTCCTTAATCTATCACGTTTTAGACGCCAAACAGGCGACTTGAAGTTTGTATCTCCATGTGAGCTGGACTATCTGTATTTTGTGTACTAGTTTTCTTCAAACAAATACATTTAACATCCTTAACGGCACTGATTGAAATAATCAAATTTTTCCTGATTGACTAAATATAATAATCATGGTGCAGTCATTCATTAGTAATGCTATACTCTCTGATCATCTTCATCTCGTTTTAAACACAACATATCTTATTTATAATGATAAGCGGAAGAAGCAGTTTGTACAAGTGATATTCTATACTAATTCTTAATAATTTCTCTAGATTCTCTCAAAACGTATAAAGCAAAAACATAAATTACTAAACGTTGGTTATGCGGTGATAGTGAATAAAGCATCATCAAAAAGATTATTCGTGGCATGATTTTGTCAATCAAATTTTGGATATGCGGATGGTCTAATTCATCGACCGTTTTCGATAACCGTTTCAAACAAAACTATGGAAAAGGTATAAATCCTAACAACCCTTTTTTTTGCTTTAATAATTCGACGTCGTTAAGATTTACAGCACATCAGATTCATTTACATAAATCTTAATTCTAGCAAATATCGCATTCCAAAGTTAAAAAATGAACCGTATGTTTAATTATAACTACCATGAGATAAAAATTAATAAAAGAATTTTTTTCGTATCAAATACAATGAACGGTACTATCATTTTTTTTCGCTTATACTAATTTGAGCTACACATGTTGCAATTAATTACCAAAAATATGTTACAAGAGTAGACAATAGATTATTTTATTATTAACAATAGTAGAAATAAAGAGTATGAAAAAAAGAAAAACAAGACACAAGCACAGACACATAATATAATACTAATTACATCAAAACAACAATAAAGATCAGGTCAAAAATGTACAAAAAAACTGTATTCACAAATGTTAGTTTTCCTGTAATTCTCCAAATTGTGTAACACATAATTTGCATCTCCAATCACCCTCAGGTGCTTTCGATAATGGTGGCTGGAGACAATAAAAATGATAACCACTAGAATGAGAAACAAACACAATAAAAACAATATTCAATCAAATTAGAAACATAACTAGTGACTAAAAATAATAGGGTCTATGGTACTTTCTTTTCCAAAGTCCTGTTGGAATAGAACCGTCCATATGATCTCATGAATGGGATGAGACATGCCATTCTATGGAATAACGTTTTTGTCCTATTCTATTCTATCTCATTGATTCTGCTAGTATTTATGGTTATTTCAAAGGCAGCTTTCGTTGGAGAATTTGTTTCTGTCTGTCTATTCTTACGAGAAAAGACTTTTAACGGCATAACAGAAGTCGAAACTCAACGTTTAGAGCAACTATTGTCATCTCTATGTTTTTTAAGTGAACTTATGCAAAATTGAGAATTTTCTGACTGACTGATTAAAATGTAGCATCACTACACCTTCTCTCCCTCTGATCATTCGATCTTCTATTTAGCCAGACAAGTTGAATTCTAAGGGCTAAACTTCTACTGTGATACATTTTTTTCGCATTATGGTAACGCGCATTGGTTAATTCAGAATTTGTTGAACATACAGTGGCTCCAAAAATTGATCATACAGATGTAATTTCGATTTTTTCCGTAATGGTAACCGGTATAAGGAATCCAAATAGTGATTTGGATAGAGAAAATTATTTCGAATAAATATTTGAGAAAAATAAAATTCTCACTATATTCCCAAAATATATATATATAGATACACCCGAAAAAAACATTTTTGGTCTTTTCATAAAACTGATGTAGCTCAGTCAAAAAAACGTCGTAGAGAGCTCGGAGACGCCTTAGTTGTTTTTATTATTGTGTTATGGATGCCGAAACCATAGGTTTTGTTTTTCTGAAGATCCTGGATTTGGGATTATAGTGAGAATTTTATTTTCATCAAATATTTGTTCGAAACAATTTTCTCTATCCAAATCACTATTTGGATTCTTTATACCAGTTACCATTACGGAAAAATTCGAAATTACATCTGTATGATCAATTTTTGGAGTCACTGTAGATGAACTTCTGTGAGCTTCAAAATAAGGATTGGGTCAGCTAGGAGGTTTCACTGAAACTCAGCGAGCGATACATGTTTTTCTTAAACTTTTTGCTGAGAAAATCACAAAGATTAAAATTAGCATTGGGCGATCCCACAACCATTCGCTCATCCTAGATACGTCGAAAAAGTAAATAATTCAACATACCGATCACAATCATCACAAAATAATAACTGGGAATCATTCTCTGAGTTTCCACATATTGAACACGTTTTACATTCCATGCATTGCCAATTATACTTTTTAACACTTAATAACATATTTGGATTAAAATTTAAACATGTCGGATGAGCACTACGCGAACAATCTTTACATGTAATTAATTCTTCAGATTTATGAGTCTTTTTGTTTTCATATTCATCGCCAAGACAGAAATCGCATTGATTACCAGATACTTCTTGAGATTGAGAAGATGGAGGAATAGATTCGGGAATCGGTGGACGAGTCATAACTTGTTGTTGTTGTTGATATTGATGATGTTGCATCATTGAAGGATGAGGCATTGGAGGAGGCGGATGGGGATTATGGTGAGGATGCATTTCATAACCACGAGGTGGATATTGTTGCGGTTGCATATACATTTGTTGTGGATGATAAGACGAAGGTGGATGCCCAGGA